TTCTAAGATCCTTGGCCAGAGTTACAGGGACATCAGTAGATGGTAGATCAGATACCAACTGATTTCGTGGTTTGTTGTAACAAACTAGGGATGCTTCAATAATTGGATTTTCACTGAGTCTTGAGGGTTTTTCTGTGCTTGATTAACTTAATTACTACATTTAAAAAATAACCTGAGGGCCGGGCGACTGGCGCGTTGGTTAAGAGCTGGCTTGGGACACCAGCTCTGAGCAGCAGGGCCCCGGTGGGATCCCACATGGGGGCCAGTGACACTGCCTTCTACAGCTAAGATGCTGAACAACAGCTTGACCTGGAGCTGGACTGCTGTGAGTCACTGGCGACGACGTAGGCTGCAGTGGTCTGCCGTAAGCTACTGTGAGTGGCTGGCAGCCAGTGTGAGCGGCCATCCAGAGGCCAGTGACTGATGTGCCTCACCTGGGAAGAGCGCAATGATAATACCAACATGGGCCAGTGAAGCAACATCGTCCACAACTAGGCTGAAGAACAAAACAACAGCAAATTGTCTGTTCTCCTCCCCCAACTCCCGAATAAAATCTTTAAAAAAAAAAAGGAAAATAATCTGATTCACTGTTATAGTGCATAATGTACTTTAATTTTATTTTACTTAACTGTATTTATCTAAGGTATTATTGGGTGTTTCTCATCTTAAAGGGAACTCAGTATCTTTTTTTGTATTTTAAGTTCCCTATCTTGTATTTATTCCTATGGAGTCTGTTAGCAGTACCCCTGTAGGAAGGACTGCATGTCCTGGGGAGAGGGTTGTTTTATGGTTTGTTTTCTTTTGTTAGAAGTTAAACTAAACTCATACATTGTACCACTATTTTCTCTGGAAGTCAGGTTTGCCTCTCACTGCCCCTCCCTCCACAAGTAGTTCAGCCCATCAGTCATCTTCCCTTCCCAGTCTATTCAGCACTGGTTCTTCCCTTGTGTGTGCAGTATGTTCCCCTCTCACTAACCAATGTAGCGTCTTGTTTTCACCATCTGTTCAGATTATTGTCCTGCTGTTTTCTTCCACCATCACGTTTTCCTCTTTGGAAATGATCCTACTCTGACATCTTTCACTTGTTCACCAGCTATTCTCTTAGTGATTTGGTGTGAGCCATCGTCTGTACCTGTCCCTCAGGTAAAACCACTCCGAGGCAGACCCCGCAGAGGCTGCTTGTCCTCATGGCTGTAGTGGTCGTCGTGGTTGATCACTGCTTCTCCCTGAAACTGTCTCCTTCCTGGAGGCTGCACGAATGAAGCTCCCCTGAGCTGTCCCCTCCCCCAGGCTGCTGTTCTGGCTCCAGGTCCCCGCCCAACACCAACAGGCACAGGAGGCCGTAAGGATCTTGATTTAACACTCTCTCTCTCTCTTTCTCTCTCTCTCGCTGGCTCTCTCCCTCTCTCTCCCTCTCTCTCTCTCTCTCACTCCCCACCCTGTCTCTCTTTCTCTCCCCTCTCTCTCCATTTTTTCAAAAACAATTTTTTTGACTGATTGCTGTGGTTTCAGATGTTTCTTCCATTCAACTGGCTTCTGTACTGTGTCACCTTCTCAGACATATTTCATTAAACTTCATCTCCACAACTACACCTGGTCCTTGGCTGATTTCATTTGGATGGACCAGTAAAACCTAAACTAAAAATGTCCCAAACTGAGTTAATTCTGTTCTCCCTAAATATCCACCCCTTCATGTTGGCTTTCTAATGTGAGGCAATTCCGTTCTTCCTGTCACTTTACCTAGAAGACCAAGGTCTCCTCTCCGTCCTTTCTTCCTTCTGTATCTGAGCAACTGCAAGTCTCTGCAGACTTAGCCAAACTGGTCTATCATGGCTTTCCAGAGAACCTTGACCAATAAGATACAAAGACATAGAGAAAGAGTCTTATTTTAAGGAGTTGACTTCTGTGACTATGTAGGCTGGCAGCAACTAAATAGTATTGTTTCAAGCAATGTGTCTGGGGAAATGTTTCTTTATGAGGAGAGGTTACGCTTTTCTCCCAACTTAGTCTCACAATAGAGTGAGCTAACTCCATTTAAAATAGGTGTTAGTATGTCTGGAGCCTCTATGATTAAAAACAACAGAAATCCAAATGCTGTAATAAATAAATTCACATTTCACCAAAGTGCTCATAGATTGAAGTGCAGTAACTTAGTTAGAAGAGCATGAAGTGGCCCAGGAACCCCTGTGACATCCTTAGAGTGACTCTGGTGCATCTTTAACATTCCCTTACTTTTCCACCAATCACATGTTTAAAAGACTTATTTAGTCATTCAGAAATTGTCAAGTCATTTGGGCTAAACTATGCACACAGTTCTGCTAAGTGTTTACAATAAAAGCTTATGGTAGTAGGCCCCTCTTTATTTTCCAAAGCTCTTTCTTAATTTGATTTTTGATTACTAATTTAATCTCCTTATTATTTAGATGTCTATTCATGTTTTGTATATTTTGTAATTTAGTCTTGGTAGGTGTTGTGTTTCTAGAATTTTATCCAAGACTGTTAACCATATTTGTGCTATTTTTAAAGCTCCACATGTTTACCACTGTGATAATATTTTGTGTAAATGTGATTGTAAATGGTTGCATAATACACCATCCCATGGGTATATCAAACATTGTCTAGCCTTCCTCCTGTTGTTAAATGTAGGTTGACTTTAGCTGTTTTTCTGCAATGAATATTCTCATAATATGCACACATCTCTCAGTTCCTCGGTATAAACTCCTACCTGTAGGGTTTCTGGATCATTGGGTCTGTATGCATTTTTTTCCTTCTCTGACCAAGCCTTTTGAGGTGAAGGAATTAGGCTCAAAGTTTAAGCTACCAATCAAGCAATGGGAACAATTTATATGGACAATATTGTCAGTATCCTACTATTCCAATTCCATTTCCCAGTAAATTATCTGCTTAATAGGTGGAAAATTATGAGTATAAATGTAATTGCTTTTATCTAATAGCAATAAGTCTCAAATACATGTTTATAGAAGTTTCACCTTTATTCTGTATAGTCACTCATGTGAGTTCACTAACCATATTTAAAATAAGATAAACAGCTAAATAACTCATAACCATCATCAGAACAATGAATAACACTTATTGAAAATTTGCTCTGTACCAGACATAGTGCTAAGCCTTTCATAGTCATAATCTCATTAACTTACAAACCCTAGCAGGTGGGTGTAATGAGCTCTAACTCACACATGACAATGTGAGGCCTTGTGAGGAGCAACCTTACAGCCTGTCAGGAGGCAGAGCAAAGGCCTCAGCAGAGGTCTTGCAGGTTAACACCTATTTTGTGCCCACTACAAAGTGATGAATGTTCTAACCCCGGAATCGGCAAACTCTTGAGACAGAAGAGCTGCCAAGGGTCACCAAACTGTGGCTCATGAATGGTGGCTTTGAAGTAAAATTGAAAATGAAAATAAAACTTCATAGTTTCAATTATACAATTTTTACAGGATATTAATCACATAATGGTGATTATGTAAAAATATATGTATGGCTCTCGAATAATTTTTAAATTTTTCTGAGGGACAGTGTTGGCTCTTTGAGGGCTCAGCAAACTTTTGAGATGGAATGTACCCAAAGAGCCGCATGTGGCTTGCAAACCGTAGTTTGCCGACCAACCCCTGTTCTAAGCTATAAAAATGGGGAATTTTACAAGTCACAACACAAATACCCTGAAAGGGTCGATACCTGTCCCAAGCAACATTGATAGTAAGTGGTAGACCCAGGCTCACACCAATTTGAGAGCTCTGTGGACAGAAAAGGGGCTACATATTAAAACGGAGAAGCTCTGGGCCAGCGCATTGGTTAAGAGCTGGCTTGGGACGCCAGAGGATTACGGTTCGTATCCCACATATGAGGGCCAGTGACACTGCCCTCTACAGCTAAGATGCTGAACAACAGTTCAACCTGGNCTGTTAGCTCTCATGAAGCCTGTTGCAATTCAGCCTGTTACTCAGGTGGCGTCAGTTGTCTGGGCCCAGAATAGGTTTGGCATTTAGCTTACTGGCCTGGGAGACATTAGGAAGTCACAGACTTCCAAATAGTTATCTGAAGCAGGGGTAGGATACTTCTATTGTTTCGGATTCAGAAACTGATTTACAAAGCAATCAAGAAGCAGGAGGATAGAGTTTTAGGATTCAGGCTAGGAGCAATCTTTAGTCTAGGATTACAAACTGGTAAGAAAAGTAATCAAAGCCAGGGGCTAAGAAACTAAGAAACTATGGAGGAGACTTAACATTTCTATACTTAATATTTCTATAGGAAAGGAAACTTAAACTTCTTTGTGGGGGGCCTCTCTTGGCTGGTAACAGGGGCACGTGAACGCGCATGTATGTACTGGACCTCCCTTCTGTGACGGGCACTGTGGGGGAGCTGGGAGTGTGAGCAGAGCTCCAGCCCCATGGAGCTCAGGGTCCAGAACGGATTTAGTGAGAATTAAGACAATAGGTGACAGAAGGTGATGTTGGGTGGGTTTCAAATGTACACTTGAGTAAATGAGGACCAAGAGGTTAACATTGTGATGCTGTAGGGAGGACGGAGACCATGGGGGTGGAGGTCCTGGGGGCTGAACATAATCCCGTGGGGTCACGTGTGCCTGTGGGAAGGAAGGGCCATGTGGGGACCCCGTGGGCATGTGGGGGACAGAGAGCCTGAGCTCAGCACACAGGGGCCTGAGCTGTGCTGGGGTCTCTCTGTGGAAAGTGTTTCCCAACCACAGAGGAGACAAGAACCCTCAGGATGGTCTCAGTTGTGAAATAAAAACAGGACACACAAGGAGCCAGTCAAGAAAAGAACCGAAGTCATTGTTGAATGTCATTGTAAACAGTGTTTCCCCCTGTGTGTGGCTGCTGAGAATAGGAGACATTAGAGTCACAAAGATGGTTCAAGACTTGTCCCTGGGGGCATCTGAGAAATTTCAGAGGAAATCTCTGTTTCCAACAGGAAGTTTCTTTCCTACCCAGTTCCCCACCTGGTCCCTGGGCTGGTCCCTGTGCTCAGTGTGTCCTGAGCGCCCCCTGCAGCCCAACCCCCTGTCCCCTGCAGGGAGGTTTGTGTCTGGGCTCACATTGACTTCCCCTCACTGTGTCCTTCACACAGTAATACACGGCCGTGTCCTCGGCTCTCAGGCTGGTCATTTGCAGGTACAGCGTGTTCTTGGCATTGTCTCTGGAGATGGTGAATCGGCCCTTCATGGAGTCGGCATAGTATTTCTGACTTCCGTCATACCATATAACTGCCACCCACTCCAGTCCCTTCCCTGGAGCCTGGCGGACCCAGTTCATGCCGTAGCTACTGAAGGTGAATCCAGAGGCTGCACAGGAGAGTCGCAGAGACCCCCCAGGCTGCACCAAGCCTCCCCCAGACTCCACCAGCTGCACCTCACAATGGACACCTGCAAACACAGAGAGGTCTTGGTCAGAAGCTGTCACACATCCACTGTTTCTCTCATATTCTCCCAGAGTCTCATGTTCACCATAAATCACCTCTTAAAATAGCCACAAGGAAAACCCAGCTGAGCCCAAAGTCCATGGTGCGTCGTCTGTGTTCAGTCCTGATCACAGAATGGGGACACCTGGGGATCCCGGGGCTGGGGCTCCTGTCTCAGAGCTGCAGGGTCAGGGATGGGCTGGTTTTTATCAGCAGGAGGGCGCCTATTTGCATGTTCCTCTTCTATATAAGGAGCTACTGGTTAGGACTCTGACATAAAGGACATGGTCACAGAGTGTAATGTTTTCATTTCCCATGTCTGGTAAAAATACACCACTGTGTCTGGGCTGGTACCTCTCCCCACTGGACCCAGCTGCTCCTCTGAACCAACTCCAGGGCAGGTGGACATGCCCAGTGATGTTGTCAGGACCTCCTGACTGAACACTAGATATTGTTGCAAAGCTCGTAGAAAGACCAGGCAGGAAAAAATATAAGGAAAAGTTAGAGAAAGGATACATTTAGGATAAATCCCGTGAAGGTCACCAGTACAGAGCATGCCAAGGGGAACCAATCATCATGATGAGAGGGCGAGTTACAGACACAGGAGGGTGCAGGTTGGGACATGGGAAGTTACATCTGACAATTATTTCCCCGTAGAGAGCTCAGAGGATAAACTAAGAGCAGAGCTGAACCTGCAGCAAGTGGACCAAGTGTCTGAGGAGACAGGAGCGTCTGTTGGCTCATTGGGAAAACAGGAGCGTGACGCACACAGAGAAGCAGAGCCGTGCCGCGGGGCGTGTTCAGTTCTGGGATCCGGGGCTGTCTATGCAGCAGCGTCACTGTCCCCATTTCTGTTTTATTCTCCAGGCTCCCTTGTAAGACCAGCTTCAACGGTAGTGGACAGTGATGAAACTGCATTTTCTTTTGTAGGTATATGCAAATCATAAGAATTAGAGGTTATGGAATTTCTGTTATTAAAATAATTTCATTGAAATATTTGACACATTGTGTAAATTAAAGTTGTACAACATGGCAAATTGATACTTTTACATATTGTAATGTGATTCACATTGTAGTTATAATTAGCATCTCTATTATGTTAATAATTATTATGTTTTAATGATTGGAATATCAAAGTCGTACTCTCTTAGAAAGTTGGTGAATATAATACAGTGTTGTTGTCTACATTCATGACACTGTGCACTAGAACTCTAAGGTTTATTTACTGCTCGTTGGAGGTGTGTATCTTTAAACTAGTGAACATCCTGATGGCAATCTCTAAGACAGATTAACTTTTATCATGAAATCACTAGTTATATAAAGAGCATTGTATTTCCTTATCCACTGAACCGATGAACAATTCCAATCACCTCCTGTTATTGATGCTGATTAATTTTATTTGAGAAAACGGACAACCACGTCAATTCAGTCTTATTTTCCCCATCAGGCGTCTGTGTCTCAGTGACATGTGACATGGTTCCAGTCAGGGAGGCAGGAGCGAGGGTCTGTGGTACATTCCTGGTTCTTCAGAAGTTAATTCCCCAAGAACCATCTCTTCCCTCTCCCAGTCCTTCCATGTCTGCGTGTGACCCTGGGGAATGTTGTCACCGTGTCCTCTCATGACAGGAGTCCCCTGGAACATGAAGCTGACTCACTGGGTGTATCAATGTGCAGAACTGGGGGGAAAACTATTAGGTACATGAGTGTTTGAATTAACCAACAGAGGCCACACACGTCCAGGCTTCTTGTTTCATTAGGTTGGAATCTTGTTGTTCAGCCAGTTCAAGGCATCTTTCTTTGCTATTCTCTGAAATAGCGACACACATTATCTAGAGTCATAAAGTTAGTTTATTTTTTTATATTTTAATTTTTTTAAATTTGGGAATTGGGAGAGCGAAACAGTATTGGAGAATTGGGAAAGGGAACCAGCGAAGTTGTTGTTCTTTGACCTTAGTTGTGTAGGGCGCCAGTCACCATCTGGCCGCCCATCAGCAGCTCGTGGTCTCTAAGCTCAAGGTGCTGTGTTCAGTGTTAGCTGCAGGTGGGCAT